CATTTACCGCACATTCTTACACAGACTCAGCACGTTCCGCGTGGTGGGGGGGGGGGGGGGGGTAGCGCCAGTGCCGCAGCCAGGACTTGGCACCGGCGCAATGAGCGGCGAGCGGCTGTATTCAGCTCCCGCCCCGACGCTCAATCCAGTGGCATTCGGTATTTAGAGCTGATACGGGCCACCCCTAAGTCAACTGGGACGAAAATTAGCACTTGGTGAAGCTCTTTGGCCCTGGGTTAAAGCCGATCCATTGTGTCCTCGGGTAACCTCAAGGTGCTCGCGAAAGCATTTACGCCGAGGGTGCAGACGATTCAACGTTAGGGACACATCCATTTCTTAATATCGATCCTTAAGCAGCTATAAATAAAATCTGTAATGACGAGAAACCCCATAACAGAAACATTAAGGCAGCCTAGAAATTAACAGACTTATCCATACTCTTTGGTTCTTTCGGTAAAGTCACATAGGTATACAAATTAAATTAAATAAACCACGACGTTTCGGGCGCAACACAAGATTTAACAAATGCTTGTGTTGCGCGCAAAACGTCATTATTTATTTTATTTTTCTACCCACGTGACTTTACCGAAAGAACCAAAGAGTATGGATTCCTGCAGTCACGAAAGCTTCAAATCAACATTAGACTTATCCATAACAGAGGATTTTTTGGGTTAGATCGTGTAAATATCAATGTGTCGTTAAACCACCCGCCAATCAGTTCAATTTGTCAAGTAAACAGAACATACCGATTCGTTACGAGTACAGCACGCCAATGTGTTGGAGAGTAAATCCAAAACATTTACAATTTGAGTACGACGTTTCACCACTAATTACAACTAGCATCATCAGCCGACAGTCAGATTTGTGGAGAAATCCTCCTGAACAGATTTAACAAAGCACACACAGGTGTGCAGCACTGCACGTGCAAAACCTCACGGCATCATCCAGAACACCAGCTCAAGACAACCGAATGGGTGGCCATTTTGTCGTTTAGACCTCACAGAGCTGCAAAACCGTGGCTGTCCCAGCCACAATACACGGATCGAATTGCATGTTGAGGCGCGACGGGGACAGCGCAACTCCTAAACCACTGGAGACCGATACACGCGGCCCGGCGTCTCTGGCGGGGACTGATTCGCCACTCCCCATCATGCCGAGCGCCGGATTCTCAGTCGCAGTTCAGCTCAGGCTGGAGCCGCTGGGTTGCTTCTAAAGAAGCACGAGGGGCTTAGCCGTGGCTCGGCTCAGCTCCATGGAAGTTCTGAGTGTGGTTGGGACCATGCTTAGAGCTGGCTCAAGTTGAGCACGGCTTTGAGCCGGCTCACTTGGGTCAGAGCCAAGCCTGCCCTGCACCATGACGAAGAATACGGGAGCCTTAATGCTCATGAGCCACTCATTAATTTGATTTCGTGACTGCAGGAATCCATACTCTTTGGTTCTTTCTGTAAAGTCACGAAGGTAGAAAATTAAATAGATCACGACGTTTCGGGCGCAACACAAGCGTCCGTCATCAGGTGGGAAAGCACGGCCTGCTACTGAGGCAGACTGTTTAAAAAAGGTTTGAAATGGGAGTAGCTCAAGGGTTATAAAGAAGTGGCCGGGGCTGGTGATGTTAATGTGAGAACTTAGCATGTAGTTGTAAGATAGAAGAGCGACCTCCTAAACGAGTGCACAGAAGTGGCTACATTAATGTGAGGGATTAGCATGATGATATGTTAATGTGAGGGATTAGCATGATGATGCTATGTTAATGTGAGGGATTAGCATGATGCTATGTTAATGTGAGGATTAGCATGATGATATGTTAAAGTGAGGGATTAGCATGATGTTATGTTAATGTTTTCCCACCTGATGACGGACTCTTGTGTTGTGCCCGAAACGTCGTGATTTATTTTATTTTATACCTACGTGACTTTACCGAAAGAACCAAAGAGTATTAATTTGATTGTTTAACAAAGATTGATACATTTCGCCTCATAGGAGCAAGTAAAACTATGCACAAGACAGATTAAAATGGATACAAAATAGATGGTAAAAATGGGACAAAGAATTGATTCTTGAATCAAATCATGGCTAAAAACAGCAAAAAAAGCACTATACAATGTAACCGGTAGTGGCCAAGACATCCCAATGCTGAGAGATCACGTGCTAATTACTCAATTGGGATTACACACATAGCAGCAACATCGCCCATCTACAACAACTTGGCAAGCCTCACTGAGTCGTGCGTCTCAGTGAGGCTTTCCTGGGTAAACAAGCGTAATACTACCTATGGGAGGAAGCCGGGGAACTCAGAGGATAGCCATGCAGAACACGGGGAGAACATACAAACTCCACACAGAAAGACACCCAAGACGAGATTGGAACCCAGGTCCCCGTTGCTGCGAGGCACAGGTGCTAGCACTGAGCTGCCACCCTGTGACACAGGATTCCTCGCAAGATCTCCGTGGAATTAAATCAGTTTCACCATCGAGCTGGGCACCGGCGCCGCTCCCACGAGCCACCAGAGACGTTTTCAAAAGCGTCACTCGCAGCCTCCTTTCCTCTGCTCGGGCGCGCGCGGGCGGCCCCATCCCAGGCGCGGAGCGGACTAAGCGCATTACCACGTGGCGGCAGTGGAAACGCTGTGCAGCGCTGTGGAATTTCAACGCATTGAACCCAAGCAACAGACGTGATTCATGCCCATAAGGGGGCAGGGTGGGTGGGGTGGTGCAGACGCGCACTCCCATCCATCATCCTGCCTTGCCACGGATCCTGTCGTGTTACTACTTGAGTGACACCGCCTTTGATGGACTCGGTGCTTCAAAGTCTCTGGTCACACACACCTGCTCTTCACAACGTGACCGATCGACAAGGCTACGACGGGAAGCCACGAGTTGTACGAATGCGTGGACTTGAAGCCGGCTGACATTAGCAATGAGCAAGGACGAAGGGCAGATCAGACGATAGGGCGAAGGGGGTGGGGTGGGGGGGGGTACGAGCGTGAGCAGCATAACCAACCGTCTCTCCTCAAGTGCTGATATCGCACGACCGTATCAGGACATCAATCGAATCAATAAAGTGGAGGCCTGGGCGTTCAGGCAAAAGCAAGTGGGCTTCAAACTGACGCCGTCTTGCATCCCTGCAAGTTCCACCAACCCACCGTGGCTCCTGTGCGTGGCTTCTTGCTGTGAGGTGCGTGAGAGTTAACGTTGCACTGCAGCCCCTTGATTTTTTTGTCATTTTTATTTTCACAATTTTTCCCAGTATCTTTTAAAACAAAATTCAGTAATAAATAGCAAATTCACTGTTTATTATAAAAGATAAGCCTGGAGTGGGTGAGGGTTGCAACTGAGAAAAATGCAAACACGTTTGTGATAAGGTAATGTGGGTGATATTACTCGGCAGTTAGCTGCTGACCGAGTCAAACAGGGCGAGATCCAGGAAGCCACAGGAACAATCTGGTCAGAATCACTGCATCACCTGACACGGTTTCTTCAACGGGTGTCACGACCGTGCTGTGGCCTGACCCAACAATCAATTACCAACCAAAACATCGGCCGTGAGAGCCGACGGAGGTGCGGTTATAGGAAATGCCATCGCTCTCCGATCCCGAGTTCCGCAGTGTGCGCGAGGTGTTCGTTCAGCACGTGCCGCTGTGCTCACAGTGCGTCGTCATCGCTCGTGTGCACAGCTGCAGCATCAACAGTGAATTAAGTGGCCTGAGATAGACGCGCCGCAGAGACATCCGACGGCAGGGGGGGGGGGGGGGGAGAGGATTTCCTTGTCGACGCATCTGGCCTGCATTACGAGGCTTTGTATTTCCAGTAGCAGGGCCGAGAGCCAAGCTCCAACTCCCTCGCTGCTGCACCCCCCTCCTCCATCCCTCTCGCTCCATTCGCCCCGTTAATATCCGGCTCGGAGGTACATATTTTGCTCTTTCCGGGGCTCAATCCAAGCCCTATAAAATTATTACCAATGCTTGTTCTTTTTTGTTCATTGTAGACTTCTACAACTGGAACTAAACGAACCTGTGATGTTTCGAGATTAGCCACAGTCCAAAAAAATTTACCTGTGATGAGTGCTCAAGCAAACACAAATCGCCAAACGTCACTGTCCGCACCAACAGCGTACAGTGCCGAACAGTGCCGTGCATGAAATTTGTGTCTTATGATGACCATCATTATTGTGCTCAAGGCTCAAGGTTCATCTTCAGGAGGGTCCAGCCGTGTTTTCGCAGTAGGGGGAGATGATTGCTGCGGAGTGTAAAGTCCCAATTGAGTAATTTGCGGTGTCATTTTGGAATTTGGCAACATTTGTATGGTGACGCTGGCACAGTGGCCCACTCTTGCGAATGCCGTCAGGGAGATCTTTAGCGTCCGTTACACATTAGACAGCATGTATAGTACGGTTAATGCACCCACAGTAATGACCAGAGCAGTCTTCCCGATTCGAACCTCGAACTTCTGCAACAAGCAGCGAACGTGCCGTCGCTGGGCCGCATCACCACCCGCAAAAACTGGGCACAACGACAGTGGATGGTTTCTAAATGCACAGAAATATTGACACACGCTTGTACCACGCTCACCTGATGATCAGGTCCCACCTGGTCAGGCGATGGCTCGGCTCGCCGTTGGTTGCTCTCCCCTGCACTACGGACGCAGTGGGGGAGCCCACAAAGCCCCCTCGGCCCACAAAGCCCCTTCCCAGGACAATTTGGCCCAAAAAGGACATTTCACCAGTTGTGACATTTGTGGCGTGTGGAGAAAGATGCAAATGAATATGCCAGCGCAAGACGAGGAATAATCTCGATTTAGCTACAGATGAGTGGCTTGAGTTAACAAAGTAGGGCATTGCATGGACATCAGCTGTCAGCCTTGTCCAGACCACCATCTTAACAGAACAGAATATTTGTGGCCATTTTTGGTAAGCAGCACAGAGTTGGTATTGAAGGCTAAACTTGCAAAGCAGGATACATTTTACAAAAAAAAACGAGCGGAGTGATAGTGGGGGGACCTCACCTCCTCATCAGATGTGTCGTGTTCATATTCATCCACCGCCGGCTTCTGATTGGCTGCTTCGACCGGAGTCGCAGAAGGCAATGCTGCACTACTAGAACCATCTCCTTGCTGCTCCTGAACACAGGGAAGGAGGACAGGGGATGAACGTCATCTCATTTACACGACAACAGCAAGATTAAGTTTCCCATGCTGGGCTTGGATGATCGGAGTGAAACCAAACCAGACACCAATCGTCATCATCACCCACGAGGCAGGATGGCAGCGCAATGGTAACACTTGTGCCTCACAGCCAGAAGGACCTGGGTAACTTTGATGTGTGGAGTTTGTTCTCCCACTGTTCTGCATGGGTTAACAACTTGGGGTCCTCTGGTTTCCTCCCAGAGCTAAACAAACATGAAATGAAACCAATATTGGCCAATATCCCAATGCTGAAAATTTACCCACAAATTAATCAATTGGAATTACGAATAGCAACATCGCCCCCTTCAGCGAACACTTAGCAGGAGTGCTGAAACAGTCTTGGGAGTCAACACGCATTACAACAAAGAATATGAACCCATCTCTAAATCCATCTTGCTCATGTGCTTGATTGGCTTCTAAACCGTCCATGATTCGCCACTCTGATTTTCAGGGATACGTTACAGGAATTGACAGCAAGCTAAAGGGTCTGTGATTCTTCAAATAAGGTCTCGCTCTCTTTAAATAGAAGAAAACCTGATACACCATTCCGTGATAGAGGCATTCAGTTATGTAGACATTTAGTGAATAGTTCATCTCACTCTGTGCCAGCAGCTGGTCCCAATTCCTTGATGATGCCCACGATTGTATCTTGTCCTGGAACTCCTTGTTTTTATTCCACAAAGAGATTTTTGGGATCGCCCACGTAATGATCTGTCAAAATCTGTGTCGTGAAAAACCCTCCACCACCCAACACAAACAAACTGTCTCGTGTACAAGTGTTCATCGCAGAAATTGGCGTTGGTTCATCTCAACGGTGACTTGAACACCAATCTTGACAACCAAAGTCGTCAATGAAGAGATACACGATGTTTCATTTTAAATTGTTGTGAAACATCATCAGGATAAGAACCAGGAAGCCAGAATCACGGAGTCACCTGACCCTGCGTCTTCAATAGATTTTGTGTTGGGTGGTAGAGGAGTCTTAACGACACAAATTTTATCAAATCATTTCGTGGCCCAACCCGAGAACCAACTATGAATCATGATCGTGCCAGCGACAACCTGCATGTCAGGTTCAAAGGGTCGTGGTTACTTCTTCAAGTGCAACATCTGTAACACCCTCCTCCTCCCAACCTCGTAATGATCCACATAAGCTACTTCGTTGGGCTATAATTTGTGGCCAGGTCGCTTTAAAAAACAAAAAGCTATAAAGCTCAGTGGGCCTTACCTGATAAAAAAGTTTTTTTAGTTCCGTTTAGATTTCTTTCCTATGGTATATTACTATTACTAGCTTTACTACCCGGCTTCGCCCAGGACTTGGATTCACCACGCCTGGCCGCCTTTGTCTCCCCAGTGGCATGTTCACACACCACACCAGTTACTCGTTTGAGGCTCAGTCGACCTAGGGGAGGCCCAGGACCAGTTAAAATAATCGTCACCGGTGGTGGCTGTGAGCGGGAATCGAACTCGGGTCGCTGGGTTCGAAACGCAGCGCGCGAATCGCTACGCAGTCGCTGCCACCCCCACACACACAGGATAAAGACAAAGATCCCCCGTGTAGCCTGTGAGACTGTAGGGGGCAAGTGCTGTTAGCGAGCACCTATGAAGGCCGGCACAGCACACGAGGGGGTGGGTGGTCAGCACCACGCCCGGCCGCCTTTGTCTCCTCGGTGGCGATGTTCACACACCACACCAGTTACTCGTTTGAGGCTGAGTCGACCTCGGGGAGGCCCAGGACCGGTTGAAATAATCGTCACCGGTGGTGACCGTGAGCGGGAATCGAACTTGGGTCGCCGGGTTCGTATCGCAGTGCGCTAACCACAACACTACCGCTCCCCCCACACACACAGACACACAGACAGCGCGCTAACCACTACACTACCGCTCCCCCCACACACACACACTTGCGCGCGGGTCCATAGGTACACATACAAGTGCTTGCAGCACACACACAACTTTCAGGGTGCGTACGGCAGTAAAGGACTGAAATACTAAAGCAGCAATGCCGCACGAAGAACGCCTTAGACCTGGAACACATTTGTATGGCATTTTACTCGTGGAAGGTTGGGGGGGGGGGGTGCGTGATGTCAGCAGGCACACTGCGTTACGCTTCCGCATACGGGTCATATGACAGATGTGACGTCACAGCTCACTTGCCGTGCAAAATATATGCATTATTGCGCCCCCCCCCCCCCCCCAAAAAATACAAAAGTCTATTTTTATCATTTTTGCATGGTGTACAGTCTGGAAAGTACCCACATGGCAAATTTCAAGTTTGTTGCATGTCAGGAAGTATGCTAAACATGTTGAACAGACACACATTCACAAATTTCCCTTTTACATATATAGATTATTTCTGTAGAAATTTAATTATAATTTCTCTCCTGTTTTATCATTCCATCTATTATCATGCACCACAGTCCTCAAGGACAACTCTCTGTAATGTAAAATCAACGTCCTCTCGGCTGTCATGGTGCTCACAGATCGTTATGGTCTGGTTTGTCAATGATGGCAAGGGCACACCACGACCTCACACCTAAATCTTGACTTAAAGCTTTCGTGACTGCAGGAATTCATATTCTTTGCGTCTTTCGGTAAAGTCACGTAGATACCTAACACCTCTCTTTGAAAAGAAAGACGCGAGGTAAAATTAAGAACAATATAACGGTTTCAAAAGAAAACAACAACGAACGGGAGAGAAAGATGTATTAAATGCCTGCAAAAGTAGCACGCAGTTGTTGAACCAAACAGTTCGTGCGGCACCCCAGGCTTCGACTTGTCACAGACAAACTGAGGAACGTTTAGTTGGCAGTGAGTGAACTGATGTCGTCATGAAATAAAATCTGTGCTTCAGGCGAAAAACAGGAAAGAATTGCCGAAGCTGCCAATCCCTTGGGAACAGCCTCCTCCTCCCCAACACCCCTCACGACAAGAACACAGCAGACGCGATCGCAGGGCGGTGGTGGTGGCAAAGTAGCAACAACAACACAAAGGCGAGCGCAGGGTGGTGGTGGTGGCACAGTGGCAACAACAACACAGACGCAAGCGCAGGGTGGCGGCGGTGGCACAGTGACAACAACACCACAGACGCGATCGCAGGGCGGTGGTGGTGGCAAAGTGGCAACAACAACACAAAGGCGAGCGCAGGGCGGTGGTGGTGGCACAGTGGCATCAACAACACAGAGGCGCGAGCGCAGGATGGTGGTGGTGGCACAGTGGCAACAATGCTCGTGCCTCACAGCAAGAAGCGCCTGGGTTCCCAACTTGCTGTGCAGAGTATGTATGTTCTCCCCCTGTGCTGCATGGGTTTCCTCTGGGTTTTCTGGTTTCAGTATAGACAATTTAAATTCTATTGGCCAAAACATAAAAAAATTACCTGCAAATCATGAAAATGGGCATCACATAGCAACATTGCCCACTACAAGGAAAAACGTGATAGAACCCTCCTGAAACCAAGTCTTACATGTAATTTTTCAGCATTGAGATGTTTGGCTAATACCGGTCACATTGTATGATTTTTTTAGCTATGGAAAGTGGAAAATCTGGAAAAAAACAAGCAGAAGAGGCGTAGAACATACCAACTCGGCACAGAACGGCACCGGAATTGGGAATAGAACGAGGCCCTTCTAGCTGTGAGGTGCGAGCGTTACCACTGTTACCCTGCCACCCAGCTGATGAACGGATTTAGGCTTCCTCTGCCATGTCAGCCAGAATTGACTGAATAAATAGCAAATTAAAGTGATGCATCAGATACGGTGAATTAATTGGGGCCACGGCAGAGCTGGCTCAATACCCAGCGCTATCGTCTTAGTCCAGAGACACTGAGAAACCTCTATGGTTAAATAAGTCTGAAGCACACACATTTTCAAGGTATAAAGCTCCGACATATAAACAAAAGAAATTCAGAGTGATTACAGGAAAAAAAACCTCAACTCAATGACAGCAAGAGTTTGCTCTGGCAATGAGGGACAAACAAAATACCACTGACGCTCAGCCATAACCAGTTATGGAGCCACTCCAGGAATTTGTGATTTGGGTTTCATGGTATTTTCGTTATAATGCTTTAAAACAACACGGCTATTAAAAAAAAAAACTCCTTCGAGTCCAGGCTGCACATCATGCCCTCTAAGCAGTAGCTTGTGATGCAACGCTTCTGAAATCCATGACACCATCTGCATTTTATTATTATAACTACCTCGATGAAGCGTACGCCATCATTATATATTTTTTATATTTTCGTGCCGATGCACAGCCGTGCGCATTGCCTGGGAGCACGAGCGGTCGGCGAGCCGACGCCGGGCACGGCTTAGAGCGTGCGCAGAGCCGACCGGAGCTTCCCCGTCCACACCAACCCACGGCGACCCAAAAGAGACCTTCGCTGCGAGAGCCCAGAAAAAATCCTCGGCGAACTCCTTCCTGCGTTCAGCAGAGTGCTCCCTCCCGGCTCACGCGGTCCGGGAGGAGTCGGGCTATGGGGAATTAAGTTTAAAATATAGTCTGCTCTGTAAGGAATAATTTACATTTGATATTCATCACAAATGAAGGCGATGCTCTGATTTACAAATGGATATAGTCTGCCAGTAGAGGGCGATGTTGCTGCTGTGAGCGCAATACCAATTGAGTTATTTGCAGGTCATTTTGCCATTTGGATGTTTGGCCAATATCAGTTACATTTCTTGTTTTTTTAGCGATGGAAGGAAACCAGAGAACCAGGAGGAAACTCATGCAGAACAGGATGAGAATTTACAAACTCAGAAAGGCGCCCGAGTGGGGAATCGAACCAAGGACCCTCTTGCTGCGAGGCACGGGTGTTACCGCTGCGCTGCCACCCCCCGTCGGCCAATGACGATTCAGGAGTGTTATGCCAAGGCGCATCGTCGTCATCATCAGGTGCAACACAGCACTTGAACTCGCCAGATATTTACGTCTGTATTTGTGCCAATCGCAGAAACCGGAGGCGTAGCGCCAGCCATCTGTAACGCTTCACTCCCACTAACCGCCCCCCCCCATTCTAGTTTTATTTGTGACTGTGCAGTACACAGAGAGAGACGACAATAATGTACAGACAGCTGCACACAGGTCTTACGGGTCACACTCGAGCCAGGAGCGCTACAACCTCGGCCGGAACTTTACACCGGAATAAAACTTTCACAAAAAACCCCCCACCTGCTTCAAAGGGTCACTCTCCGACCCGTGGGGACGAGAGTGTCTAGACAGCACTTGGTCCACAGAGCACTTGGGGAGCGAGCGTGGGCGGAGGCCTGGGGGGCCCTGCACACGCAGCATCACCTGGCTCTCATTTCATGCTTGAGCCAACGAGGGAGGACGATGGCATGAGATGCACGCAATCGCACGAAGCTTGCTTCATGGATCTCATTATTATTACGACAACTGCGCTTATTTACCCAGGAGAGCCTTGCTGAGCCTTAAGACTCTTTAGTAGGAGAGTCCTGCCAGGTTTAAGCAGTAAGGAGGCAATATCGCTGTGTGTGTAAAATCCAAATTGAGTAATTTGTAGTAAATTTTTTAGCATTGGGAAGTTTGGACAACTCCAGTTACATTGCATGGTGTTTTAGCTATGGGAGGAAACTGGAAAACCTAGAAAAAATCTATGCAGGAAAGCGGCCATGTCAGGAGTAGAACTCAGGAGCTTGTTGCTGTGAGGCATGAGCGTTACCACTGCACAAAATGTGAAAGCTCAAACTGACTTCTCGCTTGGTTTTTGGTGTCAGTGGTGGAAATTCCTATTTACTACACAGCAAGGGTGAAGTCTATCCATAGGCTAGCCATGGTTAGAGATGTGACAATGATCCACGATTTAATTAAACAGAAATAATCATAAAAACCACGCGTCAAAAATTTGGATTATTATGCAATGGAAATTTCCCAAGGCTATCTTTAAATATAATAGTTTTTCAATGGGTGCGCCTCTAAGCAGATAATATATATAAAAATATATATTTGTTTATTTCGGTAAAGTCACGTAGATAGAAAATAAAAAAACAATGAAAAAAAAAATTTAAATAAAAGCTTTATTTTCAATGTAAATGTTTTATTTTTTTAATTTTCTATCTACGTGACTTTACCGAAAGAACCAAGAATATGAATTCCTGCAGTCACGAAAGTTAAGTCAAAATACGAAAAAAATAATGGGAAAAATACTGATCTGAACTCTCAAGTGACCTCTGCTGGACACAATCAACAACCGCATGCAATAATTTAGTTAAATTGCTGACATGCCGGACTTGCCAAGTAAAGTTTCTTTTGGGACAGCAACCAAGGAAGGGAAGAACAAAGTTTCAAGCTCATGTGCTGGATGTTAGGATTTGACCTCCTGGGTCAGCCACTATTTTAGCTCTGGTGTGAAATCAAATGTCAAAAGTGACATTTCTTGACTTCTCGTGACTCGAAGGCCCTGGGTGAAACAGTTTGTAGTTCCAGTCCATTAAGAATATGGTTAGAATTAGTGTCACTAAAGAACCACCTACATGCTGAACTACACGTTGTTTATAGACTTCTGGAGCGTGGAAAATTTGAACTGCTTTTATGAGGTTCTATAAATTACAGCTTTGGGCAGAAGTGGTTTCTTATAAATCAATTATAACATGCGTCACAGTTGCGTGGATTGAAAAAGCAATTTTATGGGACCACGATCTGGGTTTACCATCAGCACTTGCAGAAAATTATACGGGAGAGGGGGTCATCATTTACGCAGCAGCAGTAGAAAGGCAATGGTGCTGCGAGACGCACCACCGTATACATATTATATGGCGATAACCATCCTGCGCAAGATAAAAACCCATCTGATCCAAGAGCAACAGTGAGAAAGGAGTAGGGAACTTGAGAGCATGCTGTTCATTTCTCGTTCCTGAACCTCTGCTAAGCTCATTACCAGAGCACTTGCCAAGGAGCCCAAATTCCTTTCCGCCCCATGCACAAAAATCCCATTTTCCCTGCCAACCTGAACAAAACGAAAACTCCGAAACCGGCTCAAGTTTTCAACGGAAAGGCTTACCTATATTAATAATAATGACTTACAGCCTTTAATCAACACACTGTTGGATGACGGCCCCCCCACACCGTGTCGGTCAAGTTGGTTTGACTATACCTCCCCACGCTGGTCAGTTCAGGCTGACGAAAGTTGAGAGGGGGTGGATCAGGACTGTTTCAGATATAACTTACCACTGATGTTTTAAGTGGTCAGGAATAAACTCATGTCGACGGGTTCACTGGGCAGTGCACGAACCAGTGCCACCGCTCCCCCCAGTGACTTCCTTGAATACTTCCCACTGTCCTCCATACGAGGTTCATAAAGGACCCTAACCTGACCCCGAGTCACCGCTTCACGCATCTGCCTCATCACAGCTCGCAGGCTATGCAGTCTCCCTCAGCCGGGTCGGCACTCGACTGGGTGTCCACGGCCAAGGCTCGCTCCCAGGAGCCGTAGGCGCGGAGCTGCATGGCGTGGCCAGATGGCTGTGCCGCGTGCAAGCCCTCGCACGCGGCACTCCACTCGGTGAAAGTCCCAACGCAGCGCCCTCGGCACAAGAAATCCTCGAGTTTCAGTGAGGCTTTCTTGGGTAAATACCGAGCATCATCATTATTGCTAAAGCATTCTTGTTTTTATTGTAAAACAGAAAGAACATGGGCATTGTGAAACAATGTCACATGAATTTAGAGATGGGAAGAATTGCGATGAAGTCAAAGTTTCCACATGCTCAAACATCTATTTATTACTACGACTAGTCGGCCCGTTTACCCAGGAAAACCTCACCGAGTCTCAAGACTATTTCTCAGGAGGATCTTTACCAATTTCGCACGAGTGGTGGTTGTTGCTGCCATGTGTAATCTCAATAAAGTACTCTGCAGGTTATTTTTCAGCAATGAATTATTTTGACCAACACCAGTTAGAGGGAATGTTTTTTTCTGTTCTGTGAGGAAACCGGAGAAATGGGAAGAAACCCATGCACAACCAAGGGAGAACGTACAAACTCCGCACAGAACAGCATCCGAGTCGGGACTCAAACCGAGCAGCTTCTTGCTGCGAGGCGTAAGTGCAACCACCGCGCCACCGCCGCCATGCCACCGTCACCCTGTCACAGGATGAAAACTAAAGCGGTGAGGATACTGGCAAGGAAGGGCAGCGGGTCCTCACCCAACAGACACTACACTGCCCCCCGATGGAGGCAGAGTGCACAGGCCATTCTGCGCCCTGTAAATGGAGAATTGTATTTGGGACAATTGTGGGGTCCGTAATTTCTTGGCTACGAAAGCTGCAACAGGCAGGAGGAGGTTCTCGCAGTCAATAATACCAATACAAATAGATTTTTTGGTTTGACCACTAATTTGCGCATTCGTCTGCAAGTGGGGCGATGTTGCTAAGTGAAATCCTAATTGAGTAAATGGCGGGTAATTTGGACCATGAAGCAGGCACACAGTGGCCTACTCTTCACAAATGGTGCGAGGGGATCTTTAATGTCCCCTGTGAAGCAGACGGCAGTAATGAGCCAATAGAAAACGTGTGAGCTCTGGTAAAATGTGTGTGACTCACATCAGCTGGATCGGAGTGAGTTCCCTCATGCGCTGAGGACTTCCCCTCAGCTGTCACGTCACCATCTCCATCATCACTCTCATCACCGTCATCATCTCTATCGCTGTCCTCCGTGTCACTGGAGCCAGAGTCCTCCAGGCCTGCATGGAGTGATTGACACAGAGAGTGACGCATTACAAATGATGCAGCTCAACAGTACAAACATAGTAGCGAAGAAAGCATCATGATACCTATGATGACATGCAAGCAATCACTACGGCACTCATACACAAAGCCTTACATTTTAACAAGTGAAAATAAAATGGTTAACAGTTTGCTGCACACATGCACACATCAATAGAAATAAACGTAACATTGTGACATTTTCAATTGACAAACTAAGCAAGTTACTGTGGTGTAGCGGTTAGCGCATAGGAGTTGAAATGCAAAGATCAATGGTTTCATGTTCAGGCGGCGTGGCAGTTGAAACAATAGACTTTTATCTTGACTTAAAGCTTTCGTGACTGCAGGAATTCATATTCTTTGGGTTTTTCGGTAAAGCCATGTAGATCGAAAAAATAAATAAAAGTATTTTATTTTTTCTAATAATAAAAACAATACAATTATTTTATTACTTTTTCAATCTACGTGGCTTTACCGAAAGACCCAAATAATAATATAAAAGACTTTTAATTAAATTCCCCTCACTGGCTCTATCCACCCAACAGTCGAAACGGGTACAAATCGATTGGCCAGTTGTTTGTTGGGGGTAAAACGTGGATACTCCCACATCTTCTAAGACTTTTATGGTCAGCATGGAAGAGTAGGCCAAGATTCCTTCTCGAGGAGCTCCCTGCTAAGGAGCTCGCAGAAGCTGCCAAGGTGTGGTGCCATCATCAGCACTGGTCATGATGACCTCCGGATCTTGACTTTATAAATTCAGACTACTACGTTCACCATAACATACCCGAGTAGACGCTCTCTTCGCTGTCACTCGCATCTTCATCGCCTTCTTCACTCTCGTCCTCCCGCCGATCGTCTTCCACTGCAACAGGGGCCTGTGTGCACACCCACAAACCTTGAGATACTGCCATGTTTCTATGCCCACAGGGAAGCATGTGGACAATTCCATTTTAATTTTCTCCGCATCTGTTGCTTGTGCAGCAACGATGCGGATTTCAATGGCAAAGCCAATGAAATGAAAAGTATCTCCACTTCGCGCAAATACCCTGAAGACGGAGTGAGCAGGGCCTACTCACGCGCATCTTGGAAGGACCTGCAGCTGTCGAGCAACCGGTCAAATGGAAGGGTGCTGGTTAACCTCACAAATCACACATCAAACCCGGCTGTCGAAAATATCACCATCAACAATTTTCATATCTGCCCATATTTTTAATAAACCCAGCTCTCTGTGCATTCTACAAAATCACAAACCTCAGGGACCTGCGAATACACGGCTCGATGCCAAACGCCAGCAATAACAGTATCGGAGAAGAGGCAAACGCGTGCATCATCACATTAACCGATATGCGGGAAAAACCCGCATCTTCGGTTTTCATGCACCCCCATGGATTGGTTTATTGCACAGCGTGCAAACGTTGTGACCGCCACTACATTGGAGAAACTGCTAACGCCTAAATGCCAGGTTTGCCCAACATCTTCTGTTAGCCCGCGATGAAAATAGATCACGTCCAAGCCAGTGGCTTGTGGACTCGTCTTGATCTCTGGTGGGGGAAGTGAGACCAGGACGAGGAGACGGCAGCTGCCTCGCATTGAAACTGAACTCGGTTCAGCTAGCAGCAGTGAATGAACGCCTCACCTTCTATGAAGACAGTTTCACTATTGAGCGCTAGACAAACCGAATCCCGACTTAGTTTCATATTGTTTCATTGCCTCAGGAGCGTCAGGCGGTAACATTGCTATCACGATGCTAGTGATTGGGCAGACTGTGCCTTGTGCTCACAATCATTCCCATAATGCAATGCGCAAGTAACATCTACAACGTAACTTTTTATAGAACCATGGTTAAAACACATTTAGATTATTTAAGGGTTATTAAAGGGTGTGTCTGTTACCCAAGAGTTACTATGCAGTAACTATACAGTAACTCTCCATACGCCTGTTTAAAAACGGGTAAGGAAGCATGGTGGTAAGTGCAGTCTCCCCACCATGTTGACGTCGACTCTGGCCTCGGTTTGCGCTATTCAGGGGCCACTCTCCGAAACGTCGTCAATTTTATATTTTATTTTTGAAGGCCACGCCGTGCGATTAAACACGTGTTCAGTTGCTTTGGATCAGCAATATGAGCTGCTTTCACCCTCGAGACATGACGGGGTCAACGTGGCCAAGAGATGCGTGGTCACTCGCCCCTAGCCATGCACTTGCCCCAATGTCCCCCAATCGCATCTGGCCCCCCAATCGCCCATGGCCCCTCACTCGCTCCTGACCCCGCACTCACAGGAAGCCTCGCACTCGCCCCGAGCCTCGCACTCGCCCCAGGCCCCCCACTCACTCCAGGCCCCCCACTCACTCCAGGCCCCCCACTCGCCTGCGCGGCGTCCGGCTCCTCGTCCTCCGCGCGCCGCTTGCTGCTGCTGTTGCTGCTGTCGCCGCCACTCGCCCGCGCCGCCGCCGCCGAGCAGGAGGAGGAGGAGGCCGCCATGCTGCGCACACGTGGGTCTCGCTCTGCAGTGTAGCGGAAACGACGTCATCAGACGACTCCACTGTACCACGTGCACTGTCCCTACGCAAAATGGCCGCCGCAGCGATGGCACGCGCACGCGTGATGACGTTAAAATTACTTTAAACTTTCGTGATTGCAAGAATTCATATTCTTTGGTTCTTTCGGTAAAGTCACGTAGATAGAAAAATAACTAAAAATAAAGCGAACAAAAATAAAGAAAAAAAACACGAATGTAGCATGTATGTAGCCTGGTTCTTAATCGGAGTGAGTGTCATGGCAATCGAAAATGTCGACTGTCGCCTGGTTTTAAACTGGTGAGCGCATTGACAATAACTTTTTGGTACCAATAATAAGTCAACATTATAGACTACCAGTACGCTCACTCAGGTTAATAACCATTGCTACAGTCTACATTATCGATTGCCAGTACACTCACTCCGATTAAGAACCAGGCTACAGTCTACATTAGTTTTTTTTCCATTATTTGTATTCTTTAGGTCTATTTTTATTTCATTGTTTTCATTCACTTTATTATGATTATTTCTTCTATCTACGTTACTTTACCGAAATAACAGAAGAATATTAACACAATGTATTATTACACTTGTTTAGCCAGGAAAGCCTGAGTCTGAAGGTTTTTGTAGGGTCCTGCCAAGTGTTTGCAGTAGGGGGCGATGTTGCTACACCTAAACCCAATTTAGTATTTTTTGGTTCTTTCTGTAAAATCACGTAGATAGAAAAAACTAACAATAAAATAATAAAAAAGAAAGTAAATAAAAATATCACGACGTTTCGATCGCAACACAAGCGGTCGTCATCAGGCAACGGAGTCAGCCTCTAAAGGAAAGTATGGGCGGTGCACGAGTGCCAATGCAGCAACAATGCCAATGCAGCAGAATGCCAATGCAGCAGCAAGCATGAAAAGAGATCCCACCAACAACCTTGTTACAAAAACGAACAATATAATCACTGAATCAGCTTCGTTAATTGAACAGACCAAACGGTTTTCCTTAAAACCTTCTGCTGCCAGACCACCCAGATTATATGGCTCACCAAAAATCCATAAAGAAGACACATTACTACAGACGTGACAAGATCTGAAATCGCTGCAACCCTCAAAAGCGCTAAGATCACAGCAACATCAGTAAGGAGGAGCGCTTTTAATTATTTCAATTAAAAAAGAGGGAAGATATCGTCATCCTCTCAGCCGACAAGGGCAATGCCATGGTCATCATGGACAAAAACGTGTACAACAAAATTCAGGACCTACTTAATGATGGTAGCTACACAAACATTTAAAGAGATCCCACCAACTTCCTCATTACAAAAACGAACAGTATCATCACTGATTCGGCTTCATTAATTGAACAGACCAAATAGGTTTCCTTAAAACCTTCTGTTGCTAGACGACCCAGACTATATGGCTTACAAAGAAAATCCATAATGAAGGTACACCCCTTCATCCCATCGTCTCCACCATTGGCTCACCCACCTACAAGCTGCCCGATATCTGTCGGAGACCTTGCAGCCATTCACTGGTAAGACCACCTCTTCTGTTCTGAACTCAGCTCACCCGGTTTCGTCAATGAAAGACATCTCACTGTCCCCAGGTGATTTACTCGTCAGTCTCGATGTAGTTTTTTTGTTCACCAAAGTTCCTGTGCCCGATACCATTGTAATCATTGAAGACCTGGTCCAACAAGGATTGAATGCTGATGTACCGGCCCTGGTGAGACACTGCCTCACCAATACATACTTTCCTTGGAATGGAACATTCTACGAACTGAAGGCACCCCAATGGGTTCTCCCTTATTTCCGGTTGTAGCCAATATTTTCATGGGTAATTTGAGACGGAAGCCATCCAGGCATTCACTCTACGCCCGTCCCTGTGGAAGAGGTACGTAGATGACACGTTTGCCATCTGGCCACATGGCCGACCGGCTCTAAACCAATTCCCAAACCACATAAATTCCATACACCCAGCCATTAAATTCACCTTCACCATGGAGGAAGAAAAGGATGGCATGCTACCCTTCTTGGATGTCCAAATAAAAAAAGAGACTAGATGACTCAATGAGCCACTCTGTCTACAGGAAAGTAACCCATACTGACGCCTACCTAAAACCTGATTCCCACCACCATCCATCCCAGACTTCCCTCATCAAAACGCTACACCATAGAGCTCAATGTATCTCCGACCATGAATACCTAACCAGTGAACTCAAACACGTACACCAAGCTCTCAAGTCGAACAGATATTCTGACTACACAATCCGCAAAGCCATCACCCCAACCGTGAGGAAGGAGCCATCTGAGGATCCAATCAAAACCATCACCCTGCCATACATAGCTGGGATAACCAAAAAGATTTCCAAAATCTTGAACAAACACAAGATCCAGGTCCGATTTAACACAATGCATAACATTTGTGATCTGATCCCATCTGTGAAGGACAAGATTCCTGACATGCAATATCCCCGTGTCTACAAATTAAGCTGTATCTGCGGCAGCAGTTACATTGGGGAAACTAAGCGACATGTCTCGGACCATGTCCGTGAACATAAGGCAGATTTGAAACATGGTAGAACCAATACTTCTGCCGTGGCTGATTATTTTAATGCGGCTGGCTCACACGAAATTGATTTCTCTAAGACGATGGTACTTTGCAGGCCTACTGGCTGTCAACAAAGATTCGTTCATGAAGCCATCCATATATACAGACACAGAGACAATTTCAACCGAGAGGATGGTTATAGACTCAGCAATCATTGGAAATGTCATCAACCACTTTGGGTCATGACCGTCAGCAGTGTGGTGTGGAGCGGGGTGCAGGGAGTTTTGCTGCTGCATTGGTATTCTGCTGCTTATTCTTTGGGTTTTTCGGTAAAGACTTTAGCGAAAAAACCTAAGAATATGAATCCTTGCAGTCACGAAAGCTTCAAATCTAGAATTCTGCTGCTTGATTGTTTTGCTTCTCCAACTTGTTTACATTTGCCTTTAATATGTCTTGTCAGGTCTCTTGTGGTACCGTACGGATGGAAACGCCGAATGGGGTTTGGCAAGGAGACGTCCATCCGCCTGTATACCCCCCCCCCCCCCAAGCTTGTCTGCGTGGTTGTCCTAACTGCATTGAGTGTGGAGGAGTTACCAGCCCCTCGGACACGTCCAGAGCCCTCCTTGGCCACTGTGGCCCACGGCTGCCAGTGCCATGAGGTTGAAAGATTATCAGGAACAGCCTCCCCCCCATGGCACTGCGGACGGCCACCAGTGTTACCGACTGGTAGTCACCAAAGAGGTGGGGATTGTTCTGCTGATCATCATCTGGCAATTGCTGCCCACTCTGAGAAGGCGCTGGAGACTGCTGCTGCTGAACGTGGAACACGCCACGAAGAGCAGGGCCCCGATTCTGACATCGGTCCTGGCCACGATCCTGGCATCGGCCCAGCAAACACGCGGCCACACAGAACCACTTGACCCCTGACCCCGGGACCCGTCACTTCCCGTGCAGGGGTCATAGGCCAAGGTGCAGCGTTATACACAATGTAATTATTGTATGAATCCTTTATTCCTGGCGCACACACGCGCGGGGATTGCGAGTAGGGATGAGGTGTGGTGAGTGTGAGTGAGTGTGGTTAGTGTGGTGTGGTGAGTGTGGGTGGGTGTGGGTGGTGAGCGAGTGACCCGGACGCGGTTGTTCGTGACGCACTGCGAGTGGGGTGAGGCGCTCTCACGACCACCCCTCGGCCCAGCCACGGCGAGGATCAACTCTCTCAGCCAGCGACACACACAACAACAACCACACACACACGCAACATACATAATACACGCAACATACATAATACACAGCGCGACACACACGTGTGTAACGCGCGTGCACATCTCACACTATTACTACAGGCGCGAGGCCCAGTGTGCTTTCTCACAGGCACGCCTCAACACGACATACTAAACACGCGTTAAACATACACACCATACACCAAACACGCGTTAAACATACACACCACACACCAAACACGCGTTAAACACACACCACATACACTAAACACGCGTTAATCACATTAGAAACTCAACACGCGCGCCGCGCCTGCCTCCTCGCTCCCAGGCGGCAAGGCCTTGGCGCGCGAGCCTCGCCTTGCACACAAACCGACTAAAACACTAAACATTACACTACACACTACATTACACATTACACACACTACACACTAAATACATTACACTACACTATACACTACACATTATACACACTAAACACAGTACACTACACTATACACTACACACTTAACACTACACTACACACACTACACTACACACGACACTACACACAAAACACCGATACAGATTAAAAACAGGCACCTACCAAATACAGTATACACGGATTCAATCCCTTGATTAGCACGGTTGGCTACGTACGGTGCGAAAGAAGTTACATTTACATATTGTACAGATTACATTAAATATATTCCACATTAACCATTACACTAAACATAACCACACACGAACCACTCTACACCCAAGTAGGTAGGGAGGGAGGCGGTGCACTCAAGACGCAGACGCGCAGAGGCCGCAGAGTGGCAGCAGCAGCTGCCGGGCCCGGCCCGGGTCGCCAGCCATGGACGGGGGGGGCCCCGGCAGCAGCGGCAGCGGCGGCGGCGGCGTTCCGGCCTTCCTGAGCAAGCTGTGGACACTGGTGGAGGACCCCGATACTAACGAGCTCATCTGCTGGAGCCCGGTCCGCTCCTCACACACTCACCACACACACACACACCCCGCTCCTCACACACACACCCCGCTCCTCACACACAAACAGACACTCACCCCACTCCTCACACACACACACACCCCACTCCTCACACACACACTCCTCACACACAGACACTTACCCCACTCCTCACACACACCCCACTCCTCACACACACACACGTACACTCACCCCACACACACACACACACCCCACTCACACACACACACTCACCCCACTCCTCACACACACTCACCCCACACACACACACACACCCCACTCACACACACACACTCACCCCACTCACACACACTCACCCCACTCCTCACCCCTTTCTCCACTACGCTTCTCACCGACAAACCCTCACCAGGGCCTGTGGAGACGCAAGCGTTGGCAGCATCATTAATCCATCCTCGTATATCACTATCAAACCTTAATTAATCCATCATTCCATTATAAGCCATCGTTCCATCAGCATCACGATCAAACATAATAAACCATAATAACTCTTTTGTTATCATTCCATCATCAGACATAAATCCTTCCCCCGCACCTCCCATGACGTTTGGCTGGGTACGGCGCGATAGAAGTTCAACATACATGCATCAACAATCCATCCCCATCAAAGATTGGCAGTTATGATTTCCAAAGAGTGACAGCGAACTGAAACATGAATTTGGTGGAATGGGTGATAAATGTAACTTAGATGTACAAGTGAGAAGCATAGATGTAAGATTTTGGAAGATCATAAACATCTAAAATCACGAGATTCTTCCCTGTGAGCCTCATAATTGAGTAAACTGGCATGTCCAGGTCTTGGGATCTGGTGTACGTATGCATTAGGAACATTTATAAGAGTGCAATTTATTTATTTACACGTTGGTTGAGAAGTTTACTTTTTGCAATGTCGAATTTAGGATAATCTGTCTAATTTTTAAATGTTTATCTGAGAGTAGTGGGTTTTTATTTTATTTACTTTAAATCTGCGTTGCAATGACACTCCATTTTTATTCTGTTTGAAAATTACATGGTCCATACCACTCGAATTACAGCGATGCAAATTTTGGTCACGCAACCTATTATGATTACTGTATACTTGTTTTCCCAGGAAAACCTGACTGAGTTTCAAGACTTTTTTTCAGGAGGGTCCTGCTAAGTTTTTGCTGTTGGAGGCGATGTTGAAGCTGTGTGTAATCTCAATTGAGTAATTTGCCAGTATTTTTCAGCTTTTGGATTTTTGGCCAATACCAGTTATATTGCATGGTTTTTTTGTTGTGTTATGAAAACCTAAAACCCAGAGGAAACCCATACAGAATGGGGAGGACATGCAAATTTCCTCTTGCTACGAGGCACACCCTTAAATCCGAGTTGTATTGGTTTTATTTATGTTAAGAAGCTGCCCCAACGCACTTTGTCATCTGCTCACCCCCTCAGTTATCAGGTGACCCAGAGGCTAAATGCAGCTTAATCAATGTGGGCTGTCTACGTATCCCGAGCCCTCAGCTGTCTGCCTAAACATACTTTCCACGGGAAGCTATATTGTACTAACCAATAGGATTACTCAATCCATGGATCATCAATAAATTGATGCAGTGATTCATCCTCCAATCTATACTCTAACATGGCTGTTGGATCGACAATGAACAGAAACAATACAATAGACACCTCGATTCAGGTATCACAAAACAATATATGGGCAAAGACACGCCTGTATGGGCAACGCCACACCTACTTTCCATGAATGGGTTGATCTGCGCAGGGATTTTCCTCCAGGATAAATAGCGTTATAGCAAAACAGCATTATAAGAGGCAGCGTTATAAGAGGTAGGCCTGTAAAGTTTTGTTTGTTGAAGGGTTTGTTATTCAATAGCTATCCATTAGAAACTATGCATTTTGCTATTTAAAAACAGTGTTTCAGGAAACATCTAAAATATGATCAGGCTACATCGTGTAAAGTGCAGTCCCCAACTCTTATCCACTCTCTGACTGAGGGCCTCACTTGTACAGTAATCATACAATAATGTTCAAATTTGTTATTTGGCTATGAATTTGACATGCAACAATGTAATTATGTAAATGATATAATCTGGTTTTTAATACACAATATATAAAACATGGAATCTGTGCATACTGGCCTGGTGCTACGTTTGCTTGTGTATAGGTGACTCATCCACTTTCATGTTACTGCAATAGTGTGGTCTCTTGTATAGAAACATGTTTTAACACGGGTAAACACGGGTCAATTGAAGGAAATGTGTGCAATCCTGTCTTTTCAGAATGGACTCAGCTTCCATGTGTTCGACCAGGGTCACTTTGCCAAAGAGGTGCTGCCCAAGTACTTCAAGCATAACAACATGGCCAGCTTTGTGAGACAACTCAATATGTGTACGTATATCTACATTACCTGACCCACGGACAAACGCTGGCACGTGGGATTGCCTGCCTACACAGGGTAACGTTAGCACATGTGCAAATGCACTCCCGCTGGAGTAAAACTTCACGGGTAAGAACTATACATACCATGCGGGTTTTGTTATGAAATTTTTTTCATTTGTATTGGTTGATTTAATTGTAACGTACAGGGGATCCCTGATTTACATCAGAGTTAGGGACAGGAAAGTTGCAACTCATAACGAAGCGACGTATAACGGGGAATTTTCCCCCATAAGAATAAATAGCCACCAAAATACTTACTGTACATGTACACTACTTGTACCATACTGCACAACACAATGTACACATAACCAATTATGAGTTCAAAACCTTTAAACAGCATTTACATTTATGAAAAACTTACTTGAAAACCATTTTTATGAGCACTTGGAAGCAGCCCTGTACACTTTAAATAATTTTACTTTTTTAATAGAAAACGTATGTGACATTTTTAAGCAATGACTCAAACAGAAAACATTTTTAGTGTAAAAAAGCACACTTTAACATTGTAAAAATATTCTACCTTGACCTATAACTTTTATGATCTTGCCTTGAGGAGTGGATGAATTGTGTTGATGGGTTGACGATTTTTTGCGATTTAGTTCACGCAAATTACAATGAGCATTTAGTACGTACGTGAGATATCACGATGGGACTAAATATATTGGGGGCGCATGCACGAATTGTATAGTACCTCTGTGACGTGAGTGTGAAACAACCTATTTGAGATGACATATATCACGGACCCCTTGTACTACTACACTTCACAGCTCTATGGACACAAATTGTGGAATTGCATATTAAATATAAACAATTTGGACATCAGGATGGTGCAGTGGTAACACCTGTGCTGTACAGCAAGAAGGCCCTTAGTTCTATTCCCGACTTGGGCTTCTTTCTGTGTGGAGTTTGTATGGTCTCTTTGGCGTGAGGTTCAAATTTGCCAAATGAAAAAAACAACCCCCAGTTCTCATACTCTTTGGTTCTTTCAGTAAGTCACGTAGATAGAAATAAAATGAAATAACACGTAGCAACAGTGCCCCCTACTGTAAAATTACAAAAGACTGTGAAACATAGTGTCTTTATCAGATCATTGCACTATAAGAATGGTGTAACATATCAAACATTCAATTATATTTTTCTCTGACGTGGTGGTGGTGATGCTGTGATCTCTCAGATGGATTTCGCAAAGTGGTCAACATTGAGCAGGGAGGGCTATTGAAGCCGGAAAAGGATGAGACGGAGTTCCAGCACCCATACTTCATCCGAGGCCAAGAGAATCTGCTGGAGCACATCAAGCGGAAGGTACATTCACCTCCCATAGCGGAGCACCTGCCCTGACCAGACCTGGCATAAGTTTGTGTGGTAGGGTGGCACAGGGATAACATGTGTGCCCCACAGGAAGAAAGGGTTAAGTTTGATTCCCAACTCGGTTGTTGCCTTTCGTTGTGGAGTTTGTATAGTCTCCTGTTCTGCATGGGTTTCCTCCGTGTTCTCAGGTTCTGCTCCCATAGCTGAAAAAAAATAGGAGTGCATCTCAGCAGCATCGAACCAATCCTAACTGACACCATCCCTCTTTGAAGGAAACCTAAAATACATATTAAATTATACAATTCTAAACGGTTACTATTATAATTATTCTCGTGATATAATTTACATATTTAGGCAATATAATGCAGGACACCATACAGTGATTACTGAGGTTCATAAGAAGTGATAACTGATTTTCTGAAAATAGTTACTGATGAGCATGTTATACGGCAAGGCTGCAAGAGCTGGATCTGACAATGAAGAATGTTCTGCTTTCTTTGCATTGGAACAGGAAGGTTATGGAATTATTTGCTTTTGGTTTGTGTTCTTTGTCATAGCTTTGGCTCAGGCTTGGCTCTGGCTCAAGTGAGCCGGCTCAAAGACATGCTTAACTTGAGCCAGCTCTCAGCACGGTCCCAGCTGCGCTCAGGATTTCCATGAGCGGAGCCCGGCCCGAGACATGGCTGAGCCACACGTGCGTCTTTGAAAGCAACCAAGCGGCTCAAGCCTGAGCCGAGCCAAGTTAGAACCAAGAATATGGCCCTAAGAATATGGTCCTAAGTGCATTAGGCATTACCGTTGTGAGCCAGTTCCAGTTAGAAACAGAACTAATTAATTGAGAGGTTGTGACAGGTGCCATATTGCGTAGTGAGGTGCTGGCAGAGTCGGGCATAAGATGTGGATGGTTGCAGGTTTTGATATAAAAACTTGAGTTCTATTGGAGTCGTAATAGATGTGTGGGTTAGGCCATGTCAGGAATTTGTATCATTTAGGGGTGTGTGGGAATGGGACAAGCAGTTAAAATGTAACTTTGACCTTTCATTTGTTATTATTAACAGGCTCTGTAAGTTTGCAGTGGCAATTCGAATAATTCAGTATATTTGGCATTCGCGCCATTCTTTTAGCGTAGGTCTCTCACGAAGGCGCTGCTTTGTTTTACAGACAGTCTGCAGTTATTTCACAGTTGGGGGCGGTGATTCCTATATGTAATCCCAATTGAGTAATTTGTAGGTAATTTTTTTAATTTCACAAATTTGGACCATGATGCTAGCGCATAATGGCCTATTCGTTTTTAACGACTTCAGGGGAACTTTAACATCCACTTTGAAGGAGACAACACACATTTTATGGTGATACACTAGCAGTTATGAATATTGGATCCTGGAATGTCAGGACCCTCACAGACAACCCAAACTCGCAACGTCCAGAGCGCCGAACAGCTCTTGTGGCACGCGAGCTGAGACGTTCTAATATCCATATTGCCGCCCTCAGCGAAACCCATCTGGCGGATAAAGGCCAACTGACTGTGTTAAGTGGAGGCTACACCTTCTTTTGGAAGGGTAGACCAGCGCATGAACGACGCCTGCATGGTGTAGGGTTTTCAATAGACAACGTGCTCATCAACAGCTCAAGTGAGCTCCCAATTGGTATCAATGAGCGTTTGATGACCCTACGCCTGAAACTCACAAAAGACCAACATGCAACCATCATCAGCACCTACGCACCACCACTGGACTCTGAAGAAGACGCCAAGGATACCTACTACAGCCAACTCGACCAAATCCTTCAGAGGACACCAACAACTGACAAGATGATTCTCCTCGGCGACTTCAATGGTCGAGTTGGGAGAGACCATCAAATGTGGAACGGTGTAATTGGTTAAGAGGGAGTTGGAAAGTCAAACTCCAATGGCCACCTTCTTCTTACAACCTGTTCTGAGCACGACCTGACAATCACCAACACCCTGTTCAGGCAGAAGAACAGCCTTAAGATCTCCTGGTGCCTCCCTCGATCACACAATGGCATTCACTGGACTACGTGATTGTCAGGAAACTTGACAACAGACGTCCGCATCACTCGTGCCATGATCAATGCAGACGATTGCTGGACTGACCACAGACTAATTCGATCAGTGATGACTCACAAACTAAACCACAAACACATGAACTGACCAAAACTACAGAGGAAAAGACTCAATGTAACCAGATTAAAAGACCCAGCTGTACAGGCCCAACTGAAAGAACAACTAGTTCAAAGACTCAGCACCAACCAGGCTTCAGGAAATGTCCATGAGTACTGGACACAACTGAAGATGGCAGTCATAACCAGCTGTGAAAACACCATTGGCTACACAAGAAGGAAAAACTGTGACTGGTTTGATGACAACGACCAGGAAATCACAGGCCTCATTGACAAGAAGCGGAAAGCTTTCATCACCTGGCAACAACACGGTCTAGACAGAAAAACAATCATAATGAGGCCAAATCGGAAGTACAAACTAAAATCCGGGAAGTGAAGAATAATTGGTTCAGAAACAAAGCAGAAGAAATATAACATTTTGCAGATTCCAATAACTCACATTATTTTATTAAAGCAACCAAAGTCTTATATGGACCATCAAAACAGGGCCTTGCACCACTTTAGTCTAAGGATGGGACAAAAATCTTTAAATACAAAAATGCAATCATCTACCACTGGCAGGAACACTTCACTCTTTTCAACTGCAACGCTGTTGTAGACGCTTCTATCTTCAGTGAGATTCCCCAACACTCTACCACTGATGATTTAGTTGGAGAACCAACTATGTTTGAAGTGGCTAAAGCTGTCAAGAAAATGAAAGAGAACAAAGCTAGTGGGCTCGACCAGATTCCTGCTGAAATGTAAAAACATGAAGGACAATGCCTACTAGAACACCTGCACTCCCTCATGGCCAGGATCTGGAATGATGAAGACCTTCCCAACGAACTGAAAGATGCCATCATTGTCACCGTATTTAAAACAGGTGACAAGTCAGACTGACAACCACAGATGAATCTCTTCTTGCCACCGCTGGAAAAATACTTGCAAGAATCCTACTAAACAGACTTCTACCACTTGCTGAAAAACTCCTTCCTGAATCGCAGAGTGGCTTTTGACCTGGCAGGGGAACCTCAGACATGATCTTCTCAGCCTGTCAACTCCGAGAAGTGCCAGGAGCAGAGACTACCATTGTACATGGCCTTCTTTGATTTGACTAAAGCTTTCAATTCTGTTAATCGTGAGCACTGGAGAATCCTTCTGAGATATGGCTGCCCAACAAAATTTGTTAACATACTCCGTCTTTTGAATGACGGTATGAAGGCTGTCATCCTCTCTGATGGTGAAACCTCGGAGCCAGTCGAAGTAAGGACCAGTGTGAAGCGAGGCTGTGTTATTGCACCAACTCTTTTCTCCATCTTCCTGGCGGGAATGCTTCATCTGACAGAGAACAGACTTCCCAGAGGCATAAATGTCACATATAGGATAGACGGGAACATATTCAACATCAACCGTTTCAGAGCCAAGTCGAAAACATCAATCACATCCGTTATTTAATTTCAATATGCCGATGATGCCCAAGTCGGTCAGCTTCTGAGCAGGCACTTACAGGTGATCATCAACATATTTACAGATGCTTACAGCAGGATGGGTCTAACATTGAATACCATCAAAACAAAGATTTTTTTTCAACAAGCTCCAGGAGGATACCTACCACCCGCTATAATCATTACCAACAATGCAATACTAGAAAACGTTCCCAGTTTCCCATGCTTAGGCAGCCATCTCTCTATCAATGTCTTAATTGATTATGAAATCCAACATCGGATTGCCCGAGCTGGTGCTGACTTTGGCAAACTTAAGAACAGGGTCTTTGAAGACCACGACATTACCGCCAAGACCAAAGTGGCAGTGTATAATGCTGTCATCATTCCAACCCTCTTATATGGTGCAGAAACCTGGACCACCTATCGTAAACACGAAATCTCTCAAAATAACGCCTTCTCAGGAAAATACTAAACATCACCTGGGAAGAAAGACAAACTAATATCAGTGTCTTAAATTTCGATTTAAAGCTTTCGTGACTGCAGGGATTAATCTTCTTGGTTCTTTCGTTAAAGTCACGTAGAAGGGAAATGATAAAATAAAACGTAATAAAATACAATTCTCACGACGTTTCGGCCACAACGCAAGCAGCCGTCCTCAGGTGAAGAACAGGTCTGTCGGAAAGACAGCGTCTGAAGACGTGACTTTACCGAAAGAACCAAGAATATAATATCAGTGTACTGGAGCGATCAAACTCATTCAGCAGAGGCCATCATCATGATGAAGTATCAACTCAGATGGGCAGGTCACCTTGTGAGGATGAATGACTCGAGGCTTCCTAAGCAAATCTTCTATTGCCAGCTCAGCGATGGATCACGTGCCGCCTGAGGTCAAAGGAAGCATTTCCGTGACAACCTTAAAATGCACCTCAAGCGAAGTCACATAGATCCAAACTGGAAAATCCATGCTCTTGATAGACCATCATGGAGGGCCACAATAAACAATGTAACTCAGCATTTTGAGGCCGAGCGAAGAGAATTGATAACCAGGAAAAGAGCACGCCGCAAGCACGTACACCAGAGAGAGAGAGAACAAGTGGGAGCTCCAGAATGGACCATCCGTGCCCCCACTGTGCCAAGATCTGCAGGGCACGGATTGACCTATTCAGCCATCTCCGGACCCATGGCCAGCCAGGTCCACCTCACAACACAAACAAGTGACACCTGGAGGGAAATCATACTCGACTACGAGGGATCCCAGAAGAAGATAACCAAGGCAGCCTGCCGGATTCAAACCACGAACCTACAACAAGTGGCGAATGCTCTTCCGTTAGGCCATATCACCGCGCCATAATGTAACTCAGAAATATCACAATCCATGCTCGTGAGCCTCCGATGCAGTACCGTATTTTTCCGCATATAGCCCGCATACGC